TGTATCTTTATATGAAGACAAACGTGCGTGCCAGGGAATTATTATCCTCCATCTTACATAAAAAAGTAATTTTATGCTTATAGCTTAAGTTAGGATGGGACGATTCTGGATATCATGGAATTTCAGAGTATCCTGATTTGGATCCGGAATCGTCGGATCCGTGAAAAAACTATCCGGATCCGGAATCGTGACCTCCGGATATCCGGACTCTAGGAATCTTTCCAAAAATCAGGATATCCGCGGATATCCGGATCCAAAATTAATATTAAAATAATTAATAAATAAATATATATTTTTAAAAATTATTAGTTAATATTTTAAATGGTATTTTTCATTATAAATATAATTTATTATAAAAAGAACTAAAATCAATTTTTATATATATTTATTTATAGAAAATTAGTTTAATAGATATATAATATATATAGTTTTAATATATTTAATGCGTTCGGATCCGGATCCGGATATCAGGACCTTAAAATTTTGCTATCCGGATCCAGATCCTCTTTTCACAGATCATAAATTTTACTATCCTTATCCGGATCTGGGCTTCCCGGATATCCTAATTTTCGGAGCGATTCCGAACGGATAACGGATCGGATCTCGGATAATAATTTCACCCCTAGCTTAAGCCAACCGATGTTTATTTTATTTTAAAGCCAGCTAATGTGTGTATTATAGAGTTTGGTACTGTCAACGAATTCCGGAGTTGAGTTTGGTACTGTAATTTGTATGATACTGAATTGCTAGTTGAATTTATGGTGCATATTTACACATATGGTTGATTAAATATTCCTCCATGCATTAACAAATGTGAGTCATCGTTTTTCTTTATAATAAAAAATTGCATTAACATAGGCAAACATTTTAACATAATTGTGATTAGAATTCCAATTCCTCCATTATATCTTACAAGCTAGCATGAAATATCTCATCTCAGCCTTTTCTAATTTTACTAACAAAAATAATACTCCATCTGTTTCAAAATGTAAGTTATTTTAACTAAAAACGCGGATATTAAAAAACTACTTTTCTACTAAAAAGTATCATTTAATATATTTATTAAAAATAATTTGACCAATCATACAAAAAATTGTAAAATATTAGTGGTCACACAATATTCAATAAAGTTAAAAAAATACCTAGGATTGTCAAAACAACTTACATATTGAAACAAAAAAAAAATCTCCAAAATAACTTACATTTTGAAACGGAGAGAGTATATTTAATCGCACTCAACCGGCCTTTTTACACCACACAACATTATCTTTTATATATATACCAAAAGGTGCAATACATTCAGAAAGATTTCATAAAACTTAAGCGAATTCAAAACCTATGGCAATATTTGGTTATTCTCCTTCGTATGGTTCTGATCAAAATGCTGCCTTATGGCGCATCCTACATTGTATATTTACACTTGTGCATATTGCGTTCTCAACACCTCCCGAAGATCCCGTCAAATGTGTATCAACAAACGCGGATTGTACGATCACAAACTCATACGGAGCCTTCCCCGACCGGTCCACATGTCGAGCCGCCAATGTGGCGTACCCAACAACCCCAGCCGAGCTTGTTTCTATCGTGGCTACAGCCACTAGATCCGGACGGAAAATGCGTGTGACCACGCGCTACTCACATAGTATGCCAAAGCTCCTGTGCACCGATGGTAGGGATGGGCTACTCATAAGCACAAATTTTCTAAACCGCACGGTGAGGACCGTGAGGTCCATAGCAAAAGCCATGACCTTAATGGTTGAGAGCGGCGTGATGCTTAGGCAATTAATTGATGAAGCCGCTAAGGTTGGATTGGCATTGCCTAATGCACCGTATTGGTGGGGATTGACCGTGGGTGGCATGATGGGAACCAGAGCTCATGGGAGCTCATTGTGGGGTAAAGGAAGTGCGGTCCATGATTATGTGACCGAGATCATGATGGTTAGTCCTGGCTCCGTCAACGATGGGTTTGCAAAGGTTAGAGTTTTAAGCGAGACCGCGACTCCTGACGAGTTTAACGCGGCCAAGGTTTCTCTTGGTGTTCTTGGGGTTATTTCTCAGGTTGATTAGATAAA